AGTATACATACTTTCAACAATTTCAAAATATATATTACTTTTTTTTTTGCTAAATAAAGATACCTATCTAACAAAAACTGCTTTTTTTTAAATCTCAACTCCTACTATTACCTATTGATTATTCAATAATATACTATTCCTAAATTTAACAAATTTATCTTTTGGCAAAGATTTAGTAAACATATCTGCACAATTGCTATGAATCCACTCACGCCTTTCTGGTCTGTTTATCCCCAGCCCAGTCAGCATCACACATAGCAATGAGTCCAGTGTCTCCTCGTTTAAAAGTCAGGACATAGTCTTTAGTCATGTTGAGATAACGCAATATTCTTTTTGCTGCATTCCAAGTGCTTGCAGTAGGTTTGTCTAGATATTTACTCAAAACTGTCACACTTTGAGCAATATCAGGTCTTGTCATAATGGATATGTACATCAACAAAATTTCTTCATCTTCCTGAACGCTGAAACCAACTTCCATGGGTGTGGTGATTGATTTTGTGTTCTCCATATTGAATTCTTTTAACAATTTGTCAATCATTCGCATTTGGTGTACCTTTAAAGCTTCATTTGTGTTTTCAATTTCCATTCCAAGGAAAGACTTCACTTTTTGTATACTTTTTACCTTGAATTCATTGTAGAGACTATTAATCAATGAATCCACCTGATCTTCGGTACCCACTATAAGTCCATCATCCACGTACAACACCAGATAGACATTTTCTTTGACAGTAGTCATAGTCAGATCGTCTGAAGTTCAATTTGTACATCATTTCATTGAACTTCATGTTCCAGCATTTCGGTGAATTTATCAGTCCATACAAGGCCTATTTAATTTAAAATATATATTTTTACTATCCAGGCCTTCCGGCTTCTTGATATATACTTCAGTATCTAATGTGCCATTTAGGAAGGCTGTAGGTACATCAATTTGTTTGATTGTCCAATTTTTCTGTACTGTGATAGACAACAGAAGTCTTATTGTTGTTATTCTGCATACTGGTGCATAGTCAAATTCCTCTCCATCATAGGGTAGGTACTTGGAAACCCTTTGCTACTAGTCTGGCCTTTCTAGTCCCATCTTCTTTGATTTTGAAAATCCACCTTGTCTCTATAGCTTTTGTATTCATGGGTAAGTCTGTAGGAATCCACGTTTGGAGGTTTTCATGCGATTTCAGCTCTTTATTTATCGCTTCCCTCCAATCTTCATTCTCAAAAGCTTCTTTGAATGTTCGTGGTTCTTCTTTGGTTGAGGATAGAAAACAAAAAGCAACATACATTTCATAATCGTTGAAATTTGTTGGTTTGTTCACTGTTCTTCCTGGTCTGGTTGTCACTGCTTCCATTGGGTCTACAGGACCTTCTGATTCATTCTGTATATTTGGTTCTTCTGTATCATTTCGATCCATGGTCACCGTTTGATCTTCAATTTCTTCTGAAAACGTTTCAGTTTCGATTTTTCGTGGTTCCATGATCACGTTTTCTTGTTTTGGTACTTTAAATTCCATTATTGATTCATCAAATCGAACATCTCTGGACCTGACAACTTTTTGTTCTTTTGGTGACCATAGCCTCCATCCACCTCCTGTATATCCTACCATGACGGATTTTTCTGCTTTGGGATCTAATTTGTTACCACCTTTTGGTAGGATGGGATACCATGCTCGGCATCCAAAAATTCTTAGTTTGCTCGAATCATTTCTGCCATGCTTTACTGAGGAAGGGGTTTCTCCTTTTGGTAGAGCTGAGGTGGGTGTACGGTTCAATTCATAAACTGAACATTTTAGAGCTTCACCCCACAATTCTTTAGGTATCCCAGAGTCTATAATTTTTGTCCTTACTTTGTTCAACAAGGTTCGGTTTAACTTCTCTGCCTTGCCATTATATTGTGGAGTATGTGGCAATGTGTATTCCAATAAAATACCTTTCTGTTTGCAGAAGTTTTTGAACATTTGTGAAAAAAATTCTCCTCCATTGTCCAATCTGAAAGCCTTCACTTCAACTTCATATTGTCTTTCTACTTCCATCACATATTCTTTCAAATTTTCACCTGCTTCACCTTTGGTCTTCAGTAACTTTATCACAGTAAAATGTTAATAATCATCCAATATGGTTTGGAAATATCTTTCACCATTTAATGTTCTCCAGTGGCTTTTGTTTCTCTCTCCGACTTATGGAATGGTAATCTAGTTCCTTTTCCTTCTGCACATGTTGAGCACACACCATTGGGTATTTCTAAATTTAACTGCATCAGGGAATCTGTGCCAACATGGCCAAGTCTTCTATGCCATAAATTTTTATCTAGTGCCAAATTGCAACTTTCTCTCTTTTCTTCATTCATAATACTATCCACCACCAGTATGTAGAGCCCATTTCTATTTTCGCTTATCAAGGGGATATTTTGCACATTTATGAGCATTTTCTCCTTTTCTATAATTATTCTATGACCTCTTGAAGTTAACTTGGAAACTGATAATAAATTGTGCTTCATTTTTGGTACAATCAATGCTTCAATGTTGAGAATTTGTCCTTGAATTCTTGTTTTCAAAATACCTCTTTTCTTGGCTACTAATTGTTCACCATTAGCAATATGAATGATTACAGAGTGTTCTAAGCTTATAATATCTGTCATGTATTTCTCTAGATCTTCTTTAACAAAATGATTGCTTGCCCCTGAATCAATCACCAATGAAATTTTTCCATCTTCTCTCTCAGTACACAAATTCGCTGCATATAATTGTATCTCTTCCTCTTTTTGTTCAACATTATGAGCTTGTTGATTCTGATTTAGTTGTTGTTGCTCGGCCTCTTGTATTTGCTCTCCTATACCCAGTTCTACCTCTACTACTACCACCTCTAAGTAGTGGACAGTTTGCCTGCCATTGGTGGGGGCTATTGCACTTGAAACACCCAGTGGATGCTTTGAAGCTTGTTTCCGTTTCATATTTAGCTTTCAGTTTCAATTCTTCATCTAGTAATCGTGCTTTGGCAAAATCCAATTTGACTTGATCAATTGTTTCTAGTGCTGTGACAACATTATCATATTTACTTGGTAAAGACAGTAATAGGTGACAGACTTCATCACTATCATTCAGTTCTCTCCCATGCTCTTTTAACTCTCTCATAATTGTGTCGAATTTTAAATATAAATCTTCTAATTTCTCTGTATCCTCTTCTTTTAAGGTCAATAGTTTTCGCCAGCATGCCAGTTTTGTAAAAGAACTTGATCTAATGAACACTGCCCTCAGTGCCTCAATTTGTTTCTTCGCAGAAGGACTGTTTTTGATTATATCTAGGTGTTTATCAGATATTCCTGCCACTACTATATATAGCCTGAGCTTCTGCGTCTGCCTTTTTCCAGGTATCTCTTTCTGTTACTGGAGCACTTGCACTTGGTTCTTCTTCATCTAGTGCTGCCATACAATCTTCTTTCTTGAACAGTGTTGTAATCCTGAATAACCAATTATTGAAATTATTGGCTTCTAAAACCGGCACAGTAAAGCTATTCATCTCGCTCTGTCGTTCGTAGCCTCATGCAAATGTGCACCTATCCTTAGGTTTCTTTAGGGATTGTAAAACTGTTTGCAATTTTTATTTTTCCTTCAATATCAAACTGAGCCCATAACCTATTGAATTTAGGGATTTTATCTTGATAAAAACACAGTGGCTGCTGAGTAATTGCAAGGAATAATCACTTTATTATATATTTCTGAAACGACGCCATCAAAAACTTGTCTACATTCATATTTTTAACCTAACTGTATAATTATTGACATATTACATTTTCATGTTTCAACACCAAGGTTTGTATATCTCACAGAACATTAATATTAGACAAAGTATCAACTCATCATGGAACGGCGAAACACTGAGATAAATTCACAATATTCCACAATTCCTAACAATATTCTCATCACATAGAGAATGCGAATTCTCAATGTTGCTTTATATAAATATATCTCCATTTTTGTATGTTCATAATTTATCTGAGAATATTCCTTTTCAACACTTTCATACCCAATCAGGGGATTCAAACTTGAACGATGGAAACTTGTGATTTTTATAGACCTCTAATCGCAGATTCGTGATAGAGTCTCAATTTAGAATTTCTTTCCACGCCCTGTATGATGAATGTCAATTTATCATACACCCAAAAGTCTATTATGTATGTATGTAGCATATACAGTGTGTCCCAAATTCGATCCTCACCATTTGGATCTTGGTTCTTCATTAATTTTATTTTTGGCGTAGCCCCACAGGTAAAAATCGAGAGGCGTACAATCAGGCGACCTTGGAGGCCATCGAACAGGTCCATGAGTAGTAATTAATTCAGCACCAAATTGATTTTCGAGATATCGATATCGATTCTTTCACACTGGTTGACGAACCAGTGACAAAATTCGAGACGACGTTCATTATCACCAGGTCTGAACCCTTGTACTGTCACTGGTTTTTGTGAACGGCATTGTTTGCCCCGAAATATTTAACTTGTATTTTCTCTTGACGTTTACAGAAATGTCACTTGGCTCCAAGCCTACTAATTGGAAATCAGTACTCCTAATAAGATGAAACTGTGACTGTGATACATCACTAGAATGGAAGTTTTTTGCTGATTTCAAATCTGTGAAAATCCAATATGGCGTCCATAAGAAAAACCGAAGTTGTAGGTGATATCTCAGAAATTTGACATTTTGATGGAAATTTGACAAAACCATTGAAAAGAACACCAAAAAGTGCTATGAGAATGTTGAAGTCATTTTTTCATGAAATCAATAGTTTCCGAGATATTCGAGAAAAATAAAAATACAAGATTTCATTTTTTCTCAAATAACTCAAGAATGACTGAAACTAGCCTGGATTTCTTGATAGATTCTGATTCAACATAAAATTTGCTACAACTTTGCTAATTCAACCGTTTCTTTATCTCTCATAGTTACTGAGATTCCAATGGTGAGGATCGAATTTGGGACACATTGTATTGCTTAATGTGTTTTGATTTTCAGGATATAATTGCCACCTTATACGGATTGATAATAGCAATTGGAGACTCTCACTCGAGAATATTCATTGACAATTTGAATTCAGGAAATGAAGGAGAAGAAAGAATCAGCTTCACGTTGCTGAACTCGATACTAAAATGTTCTAGTCTGCCTGGGCTGTATCCTATCGACGAATCAAGTAGCACACTGACTTTTGGCTTCTGGTACACACTGCAGGTTAGAACATTATTCCGATACTCCTGATTGAAGTGCTCCATCTGAAAATTTCAGGCAAGTTTTCCATAAGAATTTCTTGACCAACTATCTGAAATACAAGTGTTACATTCGCCATACACAAAAAAAAACGGCCAATGCATGTCAGATTGAGTTGAGTAATAATCACAAAATAAGTTCAAAAGAGAAAATGACGGATACACCTGAACCTGGCCAAGCTTTGAGATTCGCTGGAACTTTGTTAAGTCCCACTCTTTTCATTATATGATATTATATTCTTGGAGCTTGCAGGTTAGAACATGGAAATATGTTGAAAAAAAGTTGATAGCTATATGACAGGATGAAGGCTTGTATGATTACACATACTTATCAATTTATTTTTCAAGTTGGCGTATGACAAACATCCCTTGTATCATTGTTAATCATTGATTTTCAGCATTATCAACACTATTTTATGTTTTTTTTTCAAAATGGTTAAAAAATATGGGTTGTTTCAGAAAATTTTGCGAAACAAAAGGGCTCACTCGTCAATATTATCAGTCATCCACGTACAGCTTCAACTTCACGAGGTGGAAAAAAAACTTCAAATATGAAAGTTGTTGTAGGGTTTTATCTGTACTATCTTTTGGTACTTCTTAATCAAACAGATTCGGATTGCAAAATGAGGAAAATAGACCAAATCAACTTATTTTTATGAAACACTATGTATATTTTCAACTCTAGTGAAAAGTATGTCACTTCTTCTCACAAATATATACTTTGCTAATGTTTTCTTAGCCGTTTTCGACAAAATTTTTATTTATTGCTTGGAGCGCACGAAAGGAAATCCCTGTAATGTTCAAAGAACATCGTGCGTTTCTAGGGAGGATAGGGACAGGAGGTAGGTATTGGCATTTTTTTTGATTTTCTGGATATTATATGTTGTTGGATTACTTCCTCAGGCAACGAATTCCAGATCCTAGCCGTTCTATGGATGAAGGAGTTTTGACGAAGTGCTGTTCGACATCTTTCGAGGTTGACAACGAAAATATGTGCTTACTGGGCTTGTCTAGTTCGTCTGACTGGCATTGCTAGTGAAGGGATGATAGCAGAGATTTCCGAAGAACATTTCCTGTGGAAGTATCCATGAAAAAGTGAAAGGTCGCCGACCTTTCTACGGTGGTCCAATGATGTCAAAGAGTGAGTGAGTGTGGCGTCACCCACCAGGCTAATGGCTCTTCTCTGGAAGGAATCTAAGAGCATCAGCGTATGTTTTGGTGCTGAACCCCATATGTGGGAACAGTATTCTAGAACAGGCCGTATCTGCGCTTTGTAGATCATGAGAAGCTGTTGAGGTGTAAAGTAGCTTTTCGCACGGAACAAGAATCCGAGTTTTTGTGAAGCAGCTTATGCGATGGATCTGACATGATTATCCCATGAAAGAGTGTTGCTGATGGTAATACCGAGCATGGATATGGTGGGCTTGGTGGGGATGGTGGTGGCAGACATTACAATATCGAGCATACTGAGTTCCGCCTTTCTAGAAAAAATACAGGCTTGAGTTTTGGTGGCGTTGAATTCGACTAGGTTGTTGGTTCCCCAGGCTGTGATTTCATCAAGGTCTTCATTGACAGCATTGACCTGCCTGCTCCGTGGGTTCTTAGTTTCATGGGAAGAAATGGGAATTCTGGAAGAGAACGCAGTATGGGGGGTACTATCATCTGCAAAGCTGTGGATGGAGCAAGTTGTTACTCCCAACAGATCATTGATATTGAGAAGGAATAATGTTGGTGCCAAAATTGATCCTTATGGAACGCCGGAATTGACGTCAATGGTAGCAGACGATCCGTCCACCACCACGTGAAGCAATCTGCCTGAAAGGAATCTTGATAGGAGATGACATAGCTGAGGTGGTAAGCCGTATGATGGTAGTTTGTGGAAGAGTCCTTCGTGCCAAACACGGTCGAATGCTTTCGATATGTCCAACGCGACAGCTAGAGATTTTCCGTGTTTTTCTAATGGAGCTTGCCATAAATGGGTGACATAAATGGGTGACGTAGGCAAGTAGATCTCCAGTAGATCTTCGGTGGCGAAAGCCGTATTGTCTATCATTGATGATTCCTAAGCTTTCCAGATAATTGATGAGCTCGATATTGATGGCTTTCTCCATAACTTTGGAGATAACTGATAACAGGGCAATGGGCCTGTAGTTGTTGGGCAGGTTCTTGTTCCCTTTTTTGGGGATTGGTTGGACTCTAGATGTCTTCCAGCATGATGGAAAAATACCCGACCTGTACGAGTCGGTAAACAACTTGCAGAGAATCGGTGTTAATTCTGGTGCACATTTTTTGAGGATAATGGGTGGAATTCCATCAGGACCGTTAGCCTTATGTTGCTTATGCGATGTTGTTGCTAATGTGCCGTCGGATTTGGACAGTGGTGGAAATGAACTATTAGTGAAATTTCTTCCGACCGCTTTAGTAAGGGACCAAAACGAACGGGAGCCAGTGGGACAATCTATGAGTTTCGATCTTATCTTGGCATTGTATGCTTCTTTCGAAGCATCTATTGTTTGGCTGCAGTTATTCCTGGCATCAACGTATCCTGCTCTAGTCGCGAGGTTAGGGTTTTTGCGCCAGCGATGGTAGACTGTTTGTTTCAAGGCAACAGTTCTAGAACAGTTCTTGTTGAACCAGGGTTTCGATGGTGATGATCTTTTCGAAGAATGAGGTATGTATGTGTCCATTCCAAGCATGATGTTCTCGGATATTTCCGCAGCACACTGTGAAGGGTCCTCAGAGTCAAAGCATACTCTATGCCAGGGAAACTCGGAGAAAAATATGCGGAGACCGTCCCAATCTCCTGAATTGTAATGCCATTTAAGACGTGGGGGTGCCGGAGCAGTTGATGGAATGAAAAATGGGCATGTTGTGGAGATGAGTGTGTGGTCAGAATTGCCAAGTGGAGCTCGTACATCTATGGTGTAGGGTGCTGAATCATTGGTGAGGAATAAGTCAAGTATGTTAGCTTAATGGTTATTGGCATCGGGAATTCGTGTGGTTTCTTCGATAAGCTGCTCTAAGCCGTGAGCGATGGCGAAAGCTTCGGCTTGTCGCCCAGCTTCATTCTTTCTGTCAGAGTGTACGAGCCAAGCACTACTGAAGTTCTTACAATATTTACTCAATACGATCTCACTATTTCATATTTTTCCTCTGCCGGATAACTTGTTTTGATTAGAGAAACCGACAGAGATGTCAAAAAAACCTCTGTTTTGTTTCTATGGCGTATTTTGTGTCCACGGCTATCTAAATGTTATCGACTCCTATTTCCATTCAATATTGTAAAAGCGGAATGAATCAAAAAGGGCATGACGAAACATCAACAAAGTACGGAGTGTTACAATTTCGTTCACTCCACCCCTGTACTTTTGCATTCCTAGGGCGATTCGGATTTTTCTTCTCATAATTAACTATTCAGAATTATCTACTTTGTCGAGCAAAAATATCAATCACAATTTCTTAGCCCACTTCGATCACAATAACTACAGCAAAAGTAAAGAAAACTGATTAGGCATTTTTTTTCAAATTTTGATAATGGCAATCGATTCGGACTATACCTTTTCAACTTCAATTTCGGAATCGGTAAGTTATATTTCGGAAAAAGTAATCTCGATTTCAGAATTGGTTAGTTCGATTTCAGAAATGGTAAACTCAATTTCAGAATCGGTGAGATGAATTTCAGAAAAAGTCCATTCAATTTCAGAAATGGTAAGTTGTATTTCAGAATTGGTAGGTTCAATATCATAAAAAAAACCTAATAATTGTTCGAAATGTTTCCAATTGCATGTGAGATTAACAAACCATATTTAAAATATTCAACTTTTCAAAAACAATTTAATCCACTGATGCCTTCCATCTGAATCGCTGGAAGATAGTGGCGTTGCACATGATTATAAGAATGCAAACACATTTGAGGTGTTATCATTTTCATTGAATGATCTGCACATTTTTCAAGACATCGCAGTCTGAATTCTATCTCGTTGAGCAATCTGTTTGGATCTCCAGCTATGACCCTTTGGCGATGCTCTTGCAAGAAGCTCTTCACTTCTGAGGCACCCCCATATATGTTCAATCTGATTCAACATAGGGCTCTCAAATACCGTTCCATCCACTGTAAACAATCTTCTCTTTTGCAATTACATTTCAAACATATAAAAGGATTTCATCTTCTGAAATTGAACCTACCAATAATAATTCTGAAATACAACTTACTATTTCTGAAATTGAATGGACTTTTTCTGAAATTCATCTCACCGATTCTGAAATTGAGTTTACCATTTCTGAAATCGAACTAACCAATTCTGAAATCGACATTACTTTTTCCGAAATATAACTCACCGATTCCGAAATTGAAGTTGAAAAGGTATAGTCACAAATACTCCTATTTCAATTAAAAAATTATTCATCCCACTCTGTTGCCAGATTCTGACTACAATCATGCCTGGTATCATTAAAAATTTAAGAATAATTATACACGGTGACTAGAAAAATGACTTTATTAAAAAATTAGTGTGTATTTGCAACTAGTCCGAGAGTAAGGACCATTTTGAACTAATATTTGGGTAATATTCAACTGAATTGAAAAAAAATCAATTACCCAATTTGTTGATATAAAAATACGGAATTTTGAACAAAGCGTCGACAGATTTTTGTGAGTAGAGATAATTTTGTTCAGGTGGTTGAATAGAACAACATGAGCACTGAAATATTATACAATTCAAGTGAGAGTCTTTCCCATGAAACTTAGTGCCATGGTTTTTCAGTGTCACTTATAAAGTCTTTTTTATGATATCGAATTCAGGTAAATTTGCAGAATTTAATGCATCCAGTATCTACTGAATACATCTTGAATAGGAAAAACTACTAGTTCTTGAAAAATTTGAAGGTATTGCAGCTGGAAGCAACTTTCTTACATGAAACGCAAACGGTGTACAGCCGAATACTAGACCACAATATGCAAGGTGACGTCACAGTCGGTTCTGCCACTTTTTAAAGGAGCTCCATTTCAACCTACAATATCTAAGTAGTAGGCCAAGTTCAAGAGCTGAAAATTCAACGAGTTATTTTGATGATTGAGTTTTACATAATAACGTTAAAAAACAAGAAAATATTCTATAGATAACTAGCCCATTCAGAGTTCCTTTTCGAATTGGCACACATCAAGTTGAATTTTTTTTATACAACGAAGTTACGACTATCGATGGCTATCTGGATTACGATAAAAAGTTGTCGTTTCAATTCGATTCATTTTATGATTTTTTGTTCGAAAGAAAACATGATTATAATGCCCTTTCTTCCTTCTACCTTTTTTCTGTGAACTTCCACTCAATAAGAATGATCTAAAAACTAACTAATATGATTTTCGTTCAAATATGAGATTCATCTATTAGGTCAAAATTGGAAATCCATCGAAAAGGATCTGTGTGCCGTGCGAATTGAAGCAGTTTTTATGGCGTTTTTCTCAATTGTCCTGAATCTGACAGATTGTTTGATGAACAGTGATCACAAAGTGAACCAATGACTACATACATATGTTTTTTCAGTGTGGCTTCAGATTTTTTCTCCATAGGTATAATTTGCGAACTGATCATGCAATCATTCTGAAATATCAGTCATCAAGATTTCATAGCAACATTAACATAGTATATTCCTCATAAGGACGGTCAAATTACTTTTCATATTTCTTGAAAAACTCTTCTTGATTTCTTCAATCCACCATTTTGCTATGTGTCAATAGTGAACATCTTCAATTAGATCATAATTTCTGTGGCACTAATTTTCGCTAGATATTCGTTCCTTAAAATAACTCTTGAGCATTCCTGATGCTCACGACTCATGATAATGAAGTGTTTTCATCCACTACACTGTTTCATTCTTCAGATAATTCAACTGTGGATACAAATCTGCTCTATCGTCTTCGGGAACTAGGAATAGCCTGTATATTCCTAATATATTCCACTCGACTGACAACAGGAATATTTTCAGTTCGTTTTCCAGCAGAGTGGAAATTTTTTATTTATACAACTAGCTATGAATTCTAGTATTTGTAGCATCTGTCAAAGATGATTCCGTGAAATGTGAGTAAATACATCGAAACGTTGACGTAGGTATGTTGAGAATTTGATGAAGAAAAAAATCACCTCCCCGCTAGCGAGTTTATTCCAGTTGAAGTCTCCACCCTGTACATATATAGGTTGTTCCGTCTAAATCGTACATTTAAGACATATTTGGAGTTCTAAAATTGACACTGATCTGGAAATTTGTACACAGAGGTTATCGGTTGGGTCCTGTTCAATGAGATCACTTTCACTACTACCTACTTTCTCCCCCTATCCTGCCTTTAAGTACGCACGATGTTCTTCAAACATAATAGGGACTCCATCTCGTGCGCTCCAAGAGATAAAAAAGCATTAGAAACCACTGATACAGATCGATGCGGAATTCAATTCTGGAAGAAATTCGCATTCCATTCGAATATAAAAGAAGTTATGGTTACTTTAAATTTCCCAAACGTTTTTCCAAATTTGCATATAGAACATTATCAATTCTTCTTCTCCCTGATTCTTGAAGATGATTTTGATGAATTCAATCATGATAGAGATATCGATTCTCAAAGAGGAAGGTGCAAACTAAAAATAAAATCAGTTTTCGAAAAATCAGTAGAGGGAAGGCTGACGAAGAAGATATTATATGCAAGGAATCAAAAAAAGCAATAATGAATAATGTAGCTTCCAAATAACAAAGCTGAAGTCCACTTCCAGTGTAACTGAAATTACCGCCATTTCGAAAATATTCTCATTGAACATGACCCAATCGATATCCCCTGTATGCGAATTTTCAGATCAGTGTCGTCTTTAGAACTTCAAATACGTCTAATTTGGGGTTAAGGCAAAAATGCCTGTACATGTACAGGATGGGCAAGATTGGGCGTTTTCACCGTCTATCTCAATAACTAGAGGAGTTATCGAAAAACCGATATACATGTTACGGGTTCGATTTTGGAGAAACCTCGAATGGCACAATCAAAACCTCGATATCTTCATTCGTTTTAGAGATACAGGGGGAAATTGAAAATTTGCCGATTTCGATTTTATTTTCTGACTACTTCACGGTGAGAGGTATGAGAAAATTTCGAACGTATATTTATACAGTATGATGCGTGGAATCCATTGGCATCATCAGAAATTTTATACAATGTGACGTTGAAAAGATACGGCAGCCAATTATGTTTTTTCTAATGGAACACCCCGTATATTTTGACACAGTTGAATAGTCCCAGGCGTTCTCATTACAAATATATATATATAACCCTACCTTTTCCTTCCACAATTTCAGATATATTCGCAAAAATATATTCAGTGTGTCACATTTCTTATGGTTACACCCCCGTATCTTCTGTAAAAATAATTGAGGTAGGATTCAAAAATTCGCAACTGTCAGAAAGATACAAAATGATACACTCATGGAGTCATGGACCAAGTGGGATCATCTCCAATGATAACACTGCTCGCCAGCAGCTATGGAATCATCGATATTTCTGTATAATGCTATCAACAGGCAGAATCGAGGTTGAAAATGACACTCTGTATATATTCACCAAATGTGGAAAATAAATATCATAGGGAATATAATTTCCAGATAAATGGATATTTGGTGAGAAATAAAATGGGAAATTATTCGATTTGATATCATTGTTATCAAGACATTTGAGATACAGATATAAGACCAATAATTTACTCAATTAGGAAATCAGTAGGATGCGTTGAAAAATATAGCCTTATAGAAGATGTCCAAATTCCAGATACAGAACAATTTTATGGAACACCCCGTATATTTTGGCAGAGAGGAAAGTTCCCGTTTCAATTTCAAATATATATCTTATTTATTATCTCTTTGAACGCAAAAATATCAAGGCATACTAGAAATAATGGGTAAAGTATCATATTCAGGCATTCTGCCACAAAATATTATGATTGTTAATGTTTCCATCAATTATTCTTACAGAAGATACGGGGGTGTAACCATAAGAAATGTGACACACTGAATATATTTTTGCGAATATATCTGAAATTGTGGAAGGAAAAGGTGGGGTTATATATATATTTGTAATGAGAACGCCTGGGACTATTCAACTGTGTCAAAATATACGGGGTGTTCCATTAGAAAAAACATAATTGGCTGCCGTATTTTCTCAACGTCACCCTGTAAAAAATTTCTGATGATGCCAATGGATTCCACGCATCATACTGTATAAATATACGTTTGAAATTTTTTGATACCTCTCACCGTAAAGTAGTCAGAAAATAAAATCGAAATCGGCAAATTTTCATTTTTCCCCTGTATCTCTAAAACGAATGAAGATATCGAAATTTTGATTGTACCATTCGAGGTTTCTCCGAAATCGAACCCGGAACATGTATATCGGTTTTTCGATAACTCCTCTAGTTATTGAGATAGACGGTGAAAACGCCCAATTTTGCCCACCCTGTATAATGTACAGTGCATACCATTTTGGATAAGATTGCCAGGTCACTTGGTTGTTCCTAAAATTGAAACCTCACGGTTTTCACATTTCCTACTTTTTGTAAAACTCAAGATGGCTTTATCAGATTTTACATAACTTTCCGTTCATAAGATACGGGGTGATTTTGAAAATTTCAACTTTTTGGGCCCCTTGTATATCTACGAAGTTATAAGAAATAATATTGCACTAAGAACTATATCTAACACAACATTTTGCGCAGAATCCAGTGGCGAACTCAATTTGTTTTCAAGGTATGGTTTTAGAGATACGACAGCTACGACACAAATCTATATTTTTTATATTGAATACGCTGATTTCCATATGTTGTTGAATTCTTTATTTTTTTCCCTGCGAAATGATTCATAATACTCTATAAATAGGATTTCATGAAATGCTTAAAAATACTGAAACATTCAATCATTATGTATGTGACGCGAGGGGGTAATCACTCCCAATTTATGTGTCCCAAAATGTAATACTATTACATGTATTACATGCCATTACACATGTATTGCATGAGAATTACATGACCATACGTCTAACATAGAATTTTGCGCAGAATCCAGTGGCGAACTCAATTTGTTTTCAAGGTATAACTTTGGAGATACGACACAAATTTATATTTCTTGAATGGAACACGCTGATTTTAATATGTTGTTGAATTCGTTATATTTCTCCTTGTGAAATGATTTATAATTCTCTTCGAATAGGATTTCAAGAAATGCTTGAAAATACTAAAACATTTAGTCATTATGTAAGAGACGCGATATAAGACGTCTTCCGTTTTGGAGAATAATTTCCCTATAAAATTCTTACATATTTTATTACTTGAATATTCTGATGGAGCAGTTCTAGATCAGAAGTTTCTCATGCAAACCAATCACTCGAATACGTTTCTAGGATGATATCATATCTTTAGATTCCTCCGAGTGCACACAGCTCATGCTCACGATAAAGCCGTACTATAGAGATCTCGTCTGTATAATGCTGACAAAGTCTATGTTCCCGTCAGTCGATGACAATAGTTGGTCGCTGGACGACAAAGAAGTGTTCCGATGTTATCGCCAAGACATTGCAGATACTTTCATGTATTGTTATGCCGTACTGAATCTGGAAATGTTGGATATTCTGAACACAAAGCTCAACGAATCTCTTGAAGAGGCCGTAACAAGCGAGAGGAATGGACCCATTCAATGGAATCGTGTTGAGACTGTCTTGCATGCTTTTGGGGCCGTCGCAGAAAGCATCGAGTATGAAAATCTTTATCTGCCTAAATTGATGAACACAATTAAAGATATTCCGTTCAATAATGTACACGTGAGAGTTATGGCGACAGCACTCGAAACAGTAGGTAAGTAGACATTTTATTTCAATCCTGATTTCTGATGATATTCAAAGTGGTGATTGATAATTTTCAAGCACTAGGTATGTTATCTTTGAGAAGAAACTATTAGCAATCTTGAGAAAAAAAGAGAGAGAGTAAGAGAAATAGACAGAGCTTCCGTCCACACATTCATAGATGATAATTTTTAATGGATCTTTAGGAATTGGAGAGACAAGCGGACGTGCACGGTTTTCACATTACTTCTTTGCTGTGGGAAACGAACGATGTTGCACACAGAATTCTCTCTTGAATATCTCTAGTTTGATTTAGGATTTTTCAAGCTCATCAAAAGTATATGTTGCTCGAAATGTCTGTCCAGTTTTGATGCTACAGGTGTCAGTTATATATATTTTTTGGATGTGTGATAAATTGATATTCATCATACAGGACGTAGAAAGAAATTCTGAATTGAGAAAACCCAATCACGAATCTGCTTTTTACATGACCGAGGTACTCAGTTCAAGGGTATACTAGTGTATACCTCAGTCCGTCACCCCAATGCCAATCCTTCAGAACGCATCATGAGTGAGTGAGTTCGATGTCTTTCCATAACACCACTAGCAATACCAGTCAAAAGAACTCTACAGGCACAGTCAGCACATCCCTTCGTCTTTAACCTTGAAAAATGTCGAACAACACTCTATCAAAACTCGTTCGTCCATGGAACGGCGAAGTTTTGGAATTCTTTGCCGATGGACTCTCCCTGTCCTTCCTAGGAACGCTCGATGTTCCACGAACATTTTGGAATTTCCTTTCGTGCGCTCCAAGAGATTTGAATAAACATTTTGAAGTAAACAACACTTCCAGTTGGCCTTCGAAATTTCGTGCTTTCGAAAGTTCATGAACTCTGTGATTCATATACAGGGTCGCTGATATGTATGGAAACGGTCGATTATTTCCTAAAGTAAGATAGCTAGCGAAAAATGTTAGGATACAAAAGTTGTAGGGTTTTTCAAAATCCATTAAGCTAATGAAAAATTAAGTATACAGGATGAGTCAAAAAGTCATGACGAAACAAAGTTGCTATTTCTCTAATGGGACACCCTGTATATTATTCCACATTTCAATTCTGCTCGAAATTCTGAACAAAATTGATAAAGCGCATCATTTCCTAAATTCAACCAATTTCGAGATATCAAATTTTGAAAATAACTTTTTACTACTCTCAAATTTATTAAAGAAAAAGCACGAAATGATGCATATTTATTATGAAAGTCACAAAAGGTGGAGTATGTGGATATTATGATTACAATTTAATTATAATTTCTTTACAGAAAATAAAAAAAGCATAATTGTTCAGGGTTGATTAAAATGCAATTAAAACAATGAAATGTATTTTTTAATGAATGTCCAGGATATTTAAAATTCTATGAAAACAATAGTTAAGACAGGAGGAAAAGAGAGAAAACAAGTTTTAATAAACAACAAATTTTTTTTTGAAATTCTATTTAATAAGGTGCTCAAAGTGTTTACCATTTACCTCCTGACAGTAATGAACTCGCTGAACAAAACTTTGTAGTGAATCTAAAATCATGTGAGGAGGAATGGTAGAAATTTCATGCCTTATTCTTTCTTGCAACTCTTCGATATTTGGCGGCCTATTTTTGTAGACTACATTTTTTATGTGACCCCATAGAAAAAAGTCAAGTGGGGTCATATCGGGAGACCTAGCTGGCCATTCAATTGCTCCCCTGCGTCCAATCCATTTATTAGGAAAAGTTTCATCTAGATATGCCCGTACCATACGTCCAAAATGTGGAGGAGCCCCATCTTGTTGAAACCATATTTGTTCTGCCGGCAAATTGGGATTGTTATTATTCGGGAATAATCGTCTAAGCTCTGGAATAATATGCTGTTGTAAAAGTGATAAATATCGTTCAAATTTCCGTTTATAAAATAGGGTCCTATGACGTGTCCACCAATAATGCCACACCAGACATTTACTTTTTGTGGCCGTTGAGTGTGAACTTCCTCCATCCAATGTGGATTTTGGTCTGACCAATACCTACAGTTGTGTCGATTTACGTGCCCGTTTAAACAAAATGTAGATTCGTCAGAAAACAATATGTGGTTGACAAAGTTGACATTTTCGCTTAATTTATCCATAATAACTTCACAGAACTCGATTCTACGATCAAAATCGTCTTCACTCAATTCTTGTACCAAATGAATTTTATATGGATGGAATTTTTGCAGTTTGCAAATTTTTTGAATGGAATATCGGCTCATGTTATGATTCAAAGCCCTCTGTTGTGCCGAATTTATTGGATTTTCCACCACATCTAACATGACATTCAAAGCATTTTATTCATTTGTACCGCTTACTGGTCTTCCACTTTTTGGTCGATCTTTGACATCTCCAGTTTCATGAAAACGCTGCAATGTTTTTGAAACGGTTGATTCAGAAATTGGTTCCCGATTTGGATGCAATTCATTAAAAATATTCACTACTTGGTCACAACTTCGTCTTCTATCACCGAATCCTATGATCATTGAAATTTCAATACGCTCAGTATTAGTTAAACGTGCCATTTTTGCGCGAAACTTATTTACACTGAATGTATTTTTGACATGTGTTGTCAAGATCATCACTGTTAGACAAAAGAACGACGCGGCGTTGTTATGGAGCTGGAAACTTTCAAAGGTAACTTGATGGACTATGAACTTAATGGACTAACATTTTTGGATAATTTATTTTCAAAATTCGATATCTCGAAAACAGTTGAATTTAGGAAATGATGTGCTATATCAATTTTGTTCAGAATTTCGAGCAGAATTGAAATGTGGAATAATATACAGGGTGTCCCATTAGAGAAAAAGCAACTTTGTTTCGTCCTGACTTTTTGACTCATCCTGTATACTTAATTTTTTCATTAGCTTAATGGATTTTGAAAAACCCTACAACTTTTGTATCCTAACATTTTTCGCTAGCTATCTTACTTTAGGAAATAATCGACCGTTTCCATACATATCAGCGACCCTGTACATATACATATACAGGGTTTTCTTCCATAGAATTGCAGTTCGGTTGTAAGCCCTTACACCTTCTCTCTGTGGAGGAATAAAAATGAAAAATAAAAATATATTTTCATGTCAAAAACCTGTATGGTGTGTCCTACACCAGTTATCCTTGATAAATGGCTTTAGTGCCACCCGATGAAGCTTCTGAGGGGAAGATTGGCGGAGAGCGGGGTGCTGACTTCACATCCCTGGATGTCAGATGACATTGACAGAGTTGTCGTATTTCCACCTTGAAAATCCATCATCAGGAAGAAGTAGGGGACGATATCCAGATTCCAGACTACTATATAGCCACCAAAGGCCTTGTAGAATTAACAGATCCTGGTCGAGCGATGACTGGGAAGAATAGTGCTCCTGGTAGGATAACTCCCGTTGTAGAACTTCCAGTAAAGAAACTCCCGGTAGAAAACTCCCGGTGAAAAAACCCTTAAATATTTCATGGAAATGAGGTTCTGAATTTCTGGACTGCAGAGGGAAAAATCGTGGAAATAAAGCGAGACTCACCTTCTATGAAGGGTTGGGGATTGAAATGGCCGTAATGACGATGCAGGTAGGCACGTGGCTGCCTGGGTGATGAACCATGAAGATCCTGCCTCTTAAACCAAAACCAGAAAAATCTGTAGAGTCCAGCAGTCCTTGTAGATCAGCAGCAAATCCAGGATATCCTGATGTGATCCAGAACGCCAGGCGGTACAGGACTTCAGAAGCCGGTTCACACCACAAAAATGGCACTTGACCACCACGAAGAATTTTCTGAAGTGAGCTCTTGTCTCACGACCAGAAAGGAAATCCCTTCTCCAAATTTCCAGAAACTTCGAGAACAACCTAACAGTTTCCGCTTTTCAAATTGGCGGAAAAGGACCCCGCACTTTTTCTATATAAAAATGGCGTTCCGTCGAATTTCCCCAATTTTTGGTAAATGATAGTACTCGACATACTGATTGAATATGCCAAGTCCCAACTCAATCCTATGACTAGTTTACGAGATACAGGGTGTTGAAGTTGAAGAATACCTAATTTTTCTCGGCCTATATCTCTAAGATAGGACAAATGAATTCCAATTTTTCGGGAGCACGTAATAGTTATGCCCTTAGGCGCAAGAACTATATAGGTATTCGACCAAAACTGATTTTTATTACAGGGTGATTCTCATTTCAAATAATGTGTTTTTTTGAATATCTGAATATCAATGCTACAAATTGATAACAATTACAAAATGAGATTTATAGCCAAGTATGCTCTTCTTACATCAATTGAATTCGTAAAATATAATAATTATACATGGTGTTTCATTAATGCTGTTGATTGCATAATTGGTCTATCCTAAAGTTCATTGGGCCACCTCGTATTATCGGGTTGATTCCAGACATTCAAAATATTTTTGAAGGATGTATCCCAATGAGTTCCATGATATACAGAGTGATTCATCGATTGAAAAAATTGACAACCACGAAAAAATATTCAAAAACCACTATTTTTTTCATCACCCTCTAATTCGAAATTATTACCGTCGATGTAAGATTTTTTTCCACCAATATACTCAGTATGGATATTTCAATCAAATTGGGAATTTTCAGACCCATGCTATGACTAGTTTTTTTTATACATCGAATAATGTGAAAATAATTATGGAAAAGTAATTACATAATAACACGAAAAATTGCTCCGAATCGCAAAACTAGTAGTCACTAGTCAACTATGTCAAAAAATGTGATTTGTTCGTAAACAAAATCTAGTGGTCTTATTATAGGTCCGCTAGCAAAACATCTCGAAAATGTTTTTCAGAAAACATCAAACAAATCACAATATGCCCCCGAAAAAATCTCATCAACGACACAACTCATCAACGATCCCACTCATATAAACGTGCTAAAACTCATGAGCGTTCCAAGTCGACAGCGGTTTTTCCCAACTCAATCCTATGACTATACTTTTCGAAAAAAATA